CGCCTGCAAAAAAGAAAAAAAAAAAAAAGGTAGTGGCCTGGGGCCCTGTACGCCCTACGGGCAGCCCTGCCTCCAGACCCACTAAAATAGTATTATAGCATTGAGGAGGAAACTCAGGAATCTGTATCTTTACAAATGCCCCAGGGAATCCTAATGCTTGCTGAAGTTCAGAATCTACTGGAAGTGTGGTGGTGAAAGGGAAAGAGAGTGGTTTTCAGAGTTACTAAGAACTGGGCTCAAGCAGTGATTTGCAGCTAGCCAGTTGGGTGACTAAGAGCAAAGTACTAAACCTCTCTGAGTCTCACTTTGCGCTCATAAATACTTTCGGTCCACGGTGGCTTTAAGAGCCCTTTTAGGAGCAAAGTAGTCTGCAAATCTTGCATGTGTAAGGCTGAGACCACGCCCAGTTCCAAACCCAACATATGGCAGGAATCTAAGCAACAATGTCTGGTATCATTCGATCAGTCAACAAGTATTTATTGAAACCCTACTATGTGCAGGGCACTGTGCTCAGCGGTGGTGAGACAAAACAGGCTCAGTCCTTTGCCTTCATAGGGGAAGACTGATATGAACAGATGAAAGACATTTCATAAACATTTATTTAGTGGCAGTAGTGATTGGTCCTACGTGGGGCAGAGCAGCATGGCATGGAGAGCAGGGGACATGCTCATGTAACCAACTGAGGGTGAGTGAGTGAGGGCTTCTCTGAGGAGGTGAGGTATCCCACTAGGACCTGGAGGTAGAGCAGGACTTGCCAGGTGAAGAGAGAGACCATGTGTACTTTCTGGTCTGGTTTCTGCATTTCGGGGGCCCCTTCCTCTCCCAGAGACAGCTCTTTTTGGAAGTAAAGATGATCGAGTTGACAGCTGCTCCGCACAGAATCCAGATGAGCTCAGTGGGTTTGCAGAGGGCACGCAGGCAGACGCATGGCATCGCCGAGGTCTGAAGGTGTGCCAGCCACGGACCAAGTGTGTCCCACGTGCCGTCTCATCAGATACCCACAGTAGGTCTTCATGTGGGTTTTATGGTTATCCCCATTTAACAGATGAGGAAGTTGAGGCTCAAAGAGGATAAGTAACTTCTCACCTAAGTAGGGTCACAGAGCTAATAAACAGTAGAGCCAGGATCCAAGCCTGGGCAATGTGACCTCTCCTGCCCCTAGGCTAAGGACCCCATGCCTCACCTGTGACACTGTCTTCAGAACCCACTCGGGGGGGGAGGTCACTTTTCCGTGTAGAGAGGAATCAAACGCAGCTGAAAGTCACCTAAGAGAGAGTTGATTTGAATGATATGAAACTGCACAAAATGTGCAGCCAGCAAAAGGGCTGGAGAATAGTGGACCTGAGATCGCATCTTGACAGCTTCCAGGACGCAGCGACCCCATTTACAAGATGAGGAGCTTGGAGCAAGGCTGTGGTTCTCCAAATGTGTTCCTTAGAGCTCTGGGCTCCCTCAGAGGTGCCTCAGGGCTGCCCTGGGTGGGTGCTGGGCTATCGCTCCCATCAGTCCCCCCAGATAAACACCACGGCTTCCCAGCAGGCAGTTTTGGAAGACAGCCTCTGAGGCTGTGACAGCACAGACGATCATTACAAGCTTTACTTCTTTAACATCACTCTTAAGTCAGTCAGCATTCGTGAAGCACACATCACACTGTGAGCTGGGTGTGGAGGATCCAGACAGGTCCCTGCCCTTGAAGAGCACCTAGGCCAGGGGAGGAGGTACCCAGATCCAGTGCCCAGGTAACCAGGTGCCATGAGCCACAGGGAGGGTCCTTCCCTGCTTGGGCAGAAGCTCAGAAAAAGGCAGAGGCCAAGTTGGTATTTAAACCCAGGATTCTTGGCACCAAGTGCCGTGCTTTCCCCCCACCCCACCTGCATCAGGTAAATTGATCTGGGCGTCAGTGAAATGACCATTTAATGGAATAAGAAGATCTAGGTAGAGTCTCGGGGGAGAGTGGAGCTGCAGCGACAGAGGCAAGGGGGGAAGGCAAGAACCGAATCATCAGACAGAGGCAGAGGATCAGGGCAGAATCTGTAGCCAAGCTGGGTTTGAACAAGAGATCCTGACGGTCATGGTCAAGTGTCTGCGGCTGGGGAGGCAGGATTACCAGGGCATCTACTCGCCTATTACAGTAACAACCCTACCAATAATAATCGCTAACACTTGTTGAGCGCCGTATCAGTCAGGAAGAGTCTGGGTGCTGCAGCAATAAGTAGCTACAAAACCTCAGAGCCTTTACCACAACAAAGGTGTGTTTGCTGCTCACACAACGTTCATTGTAGATCCTGGCAGCTCTCCAGGATGGGTGATCTCCATGCAGTGACTCAGCCACACAGCTGATAGGTCCTTCACCATCCAAAGCTGCCCCATGTGACCTTCTCGGTCATGGCTACAGCAGGAGAGACTGGCTTTTCATGATCCCAGTTCAGAAGTGACATCGGTTACTGCTGCTCAGATGTCATTGTCCTGAACGTGGCACTTGGTCCACTCAACTTCAAGGGCATTGATTAAGCACCTTACCTAGGTTATTTCCCTTTGCATATAAGGAAACGGAGACACAGAGAGAATGAACAGAAAGAACTTAACCAAAGCCACACAGCTAGTAGTGGAAGACTAATAAATTAAACCCAGAAGGTCTGGGGGCTTAACCCTCATTCTACTTCCTCCCAGACCCTCAGAGGTCATTGGTACTTCAGAAATGGGCAATCCGTTGTCAGAGTGCCGTCCTTCAGTTAGCCCAATGAAGGCATCCATGTCCTCTTGGCATTAGATAAATTCAGAGAGGGATGCCATGCTCCCCTGTGGCTTGGGACCATCCCTAGCCTGTGTGGAAGAGAAGTCGACAGACTAAAGTGTTTCTCATGAGGAAGGGAGGCAGGTGCCACGGAACTGCAAATCTGCCGTGAGTGGCTTCTGATGGCACGGTGGTGGGGGGAATGGGGGAAGGGGGTGCTCCCTGGAAATCGTACAGCTTGCCAACCAACTCTTCAATCACAAATTCCAAGTGCAGGGGGTTATAAACAGATCATCACTGTGGTTCAATCCATGCACTGGGGTCTGAGATTTCCATTTCAGGACAGGGGAAATAATAAGTAACCACTGACTGGCATATCCAGGTTTATTGACTTGAAAGGTCATATATTGATGGACAAAAAGCCAAGGTCAATATTTGATTTTAAGGAGCAATAAATCTTGATATCCATGAAAAGAAGCGTTAATGCAGGTGCTGTTGGGGGGGAGAGGGATGCCTTCGCGGCGAGGGACTCCTCCCTCCTCTGTGGTGGGTGAAGGGCACTCTTGTTTGGTTGGAATATTAGGAAGGAAGCCTGTGTGTGTTTAGCAGTTTTTAGGTAGCTCCGGGTGGGTGCATGTTTTGAAGAAAGCAAAAAAGAGAAGCGTGCACTGTTTTCAGAGGACTGCCATTTCTGTCCCTGTTCACACAGACGGAAGAAAAATACCTGCCTTGCACACTATCCCTGCTGCCTGCTCCCCCCACCTGCCAGTATCTGAGATTTACCTCCACTCTCGCTAAGTTGAGATGTGATGGAATTTCCCTTTATCTGCTTTCCAACTCTCTACCCACCAATCCTTCAGTGTCTTCATCTCCCCATGCAGATTTGGGTGCATTCCCAAAGAAAGGCATGACACTGAAACCACAGGTGATGCAAACCCTTCATTATCTGCCTTAAAGAGGCAACTCGCTCCATTCTCCTCCCTATCCAGGCTCCACTCTGGGCCCCGACCCCACCTCATCCCTCCACTTCACAGTAGGGCCACCCAGACCGCTTGCCAGCCCTGTCCAGTTGGGTATCTTGGACCCTCATGAGTTTGCTTGTGCTGTGGCCGCTGCCAGAAATCTCTTCTCCTTTTGCCCCACCCTGTACACCTCCTCCTGGGGATATTTTGCTAATCCCGAAACTCCCTGTTTGACACTGTCTCCTTGGTAAAGCCCTCTCTACCCCTCCCAGGCAGAGCAGCCTCCTCCTTCCGTCTATCCCCCCATCCCTCCATCTACCCCTGTATCCCTCCATCCCTATTCTAGCTCTTGCTTCCTTCCTTGAACAGTTTTTGCTCACATGTCCATTGGTCTTCATTTTTCCTGGATTGAATGCCTGAAGGACAGGGCTGGTCCTTAATTCTGAATCCCCATTGCCTGGCTGTAGTAAATACCCAGTATGTTTGCAGAATGGGTGGCTGGACAGTGGGAAGGACAAACAGACCAAGTAAGGGACTCTCAGCAGAGCTTGGGCAGGAGGAGGGAGGGGGACGCAGGGCCTGTAGGGACTGGGGAGGGGCAGGGGGCGCCCCCAGGCAGCGAGCACAGGAGGCTGCTGACCAGCATCCTGTCTGGCCCCTCATCCTCACCGGCAGCTGCCCTGACGGTATTAATCAAGGCCAGAGCGCGTAGAAATATCAGTCCACTGTGTTCTATTCAAGTTCCCTGGAACTAAATTATGTTGTCAGGATTGGACAGAGCAGGAATGGAAAAGACCAGGCTGGATGACATGGGGCTGTTAAAAGGAGATGAATGAGCCCAGTGGTTTCCATTCAATTTTTCAAGGTTTCCCAAGGCAAGTCTGACAAATACCACCTTATGATTCTCAGGCACCCTGCACAGTGCCTCTTACACTCTCATTTTTTTATTTCTGCCTGTCCGATTAGAAGGACAAGGGATTCTTCTTTCTGTCTCGCATATGGGGAAATGGAGGAACTGGGGTGAGGGGAGCACTTTGACCAGAGTGAAGGTCAGGCCAAGGTCAGGGCATAAATCAGTGACACAGTCAGCAGGAGGATGCAGACCTCTGAGTTCACAGTGAAATGCCCTCTCCATTACCCCACCTGCTCAGCTTCCTCTACAAAATGCAACTGGCCAGACCTGCCTCTCAGGGCTGCTGCAGAGTGTCAGGGAGAAAATGCACCTGAAAACACTTTTAACTGAAACAGTGCTGTTCATTCATTCAACCGGCATTTTTTGAGTACATACCACATACCAAGCCATGTTAGCACTTCGTATTTAAGAGTTTTCATAAGGATGTAGAAAGAGGCTGAGAACTAGAAATGGATACATATGGGTTTCACATCTGTCTCACCACTCGGTAGCTGTGTGATATGGGGTTGGATATAAAACCTCTCTGATCCTCTTCAGGTGATTGTCGGGATGGAATCAGTTAAAGACAGGACAGCATCCATCATGGCACCCATCAACTTTCTTTCCTATGAGGAAGAAAGTTGTAAATAAGAACTTATTGAATCTGAATGTGTCCTCCCACAGAAAAGCAAGTGTCTCTCTTTCCTCTCTGTAGGAGGAGCGTCCCTGCACAGGGGATGCATGTGCCTAGCTTCCAGCTCTGCCGTGTGCTGCAGGAAACCATATCTCACAGCCCAGCCTCTGTTGTAAACAAAGGACTAATTAAATTAGCATAAGTTATTTTATGTAAATTAAAGATCCACGTTATAGCTGTTTATTGGTAGCAGCGTCAGATCTAGCCACTGCATAAGCTTGTGTAAAATTAATGTGCATAGATGCTCCAAATATCATATTATTAATAATGATAATAATGTTGATGAGGATGATAATAATGAACACATTCTCATAACAGTGCCTCCCGGCTGGCTCTAAAACCTCAGCGGGGAGTGTGCTGAGTGTCACAGCTCCTCAGGGAAACAGCCAGATTACACAGCTCCTTCTCAGCCTCCCAGCCCTCACTCATCGCACCATTTTGGCTTCTACTACTGGGTTCTGCTAAATTTTGGCCTCTTCAAATCCTGTCCATCTTTCAAGGTCTTACTCAGGGCCACTTCTATGAGTCAGCCCAGCCAACCTGAACTATATAGAGCTCTCTCCCTCCTTTCAGTTTCTGAAACAACTTTTCCACATCACTCTTTTCACCTATAATCTCCTCGAACTCAGATCTGTGAGGTAGGTAGCAGGTGTACTTAGGATTCCCATTTTATAGACAAGCTAACAGAGATCAAAGAGTAGAAGCCACTCAAGGTAACATAGCTAGGAAGTTACAGAGCCAGGACTCAACTTTCCCCAGCTCGTATATACCAGAGAAGCCCCTAGCTAAGAGACTGGCACATAGTAGATATTTAATGAGTGTTTGTTAGGGAGGAGGAAGGAAGGAACACATGAAGGGATGAGTGAATGAAAATTTTGCAGAGTGTAGTCTTTAAAATCCCTTAATATAACGATGACCTTCCCTCCCTATCACCATCTATCCAAGAGTCAATCCATCAATAAAACTGCATTTATTACTGACCACACATTTATAAGAATCCCCTGAGTCTAAGCCCAAACATCAGAACATCCACGTTGTTCAAGAGAAGATGTACCCAGAGAACTTTGTGAGACATTTAGAAAGGCATCCCGCCCCAAGCAGGCTCGGTAACTGAGCCAGAGTTCGCTTCACCCTCTTGGCCAGTGGCCAACCCACACAACCACAGGTGGCGGCCCTGGATTCAGCAAGGGTTGCAGAAGGCTAGAAGATTGAGAACTGCTGCCTCCCTCAGAGTTCCATGTCACTCTCACTCCTCATGATAGCACCAGGCAGGGACTGCCTGCCTACAGGGGTGTGTGTGTGTGCGTGTGTGTGCGTGTGTGTGAGATTCTTAAGTACCAGACATCAGGGGGTTGTAGGGCAAACGCTGGTTTCTGAACCACACCAACTTGGGTTTAAATTCTAACCCTCACCAGCATCATGGATAGAATTCTGGGGACCCACGAAGCTGGATGGGAAAAATGACATGTTTCAATTACAAATGGAGGCAACAAACCACAGTCGTATTTGTGATAGCTGAGATTTTTGTCACCGTAGAAATCACGATTTCTACGGGATTCAAGTTGTTGCAGTTATTTCAAAACATTGAACACAACAGGGGTCAGCAAACTTTTTTGTGAAGTCCAGATTGTAAATATGTTAGGCATTGTGGGCCTTGCATTCTCTGTTGCAACTACTCAGCTCTGCTGTGGTAGCTGTAAAGCAGCCATAGACAATAGGAAAATGAGCGGGGGTGGCTCTGTTCCAATAAAGCTTTATTTACAAGGGGCTTCCCTGGTGGTGCAGTGGATAGGACTCCACGGTCCCAGTGCAGGGGGCCCGGTTTCGATCCCTGGTCAGGGAACAGATCCCACATGCATGCTGCAACTAAGAGTTCACATACCACAACTAAGGAGCCTGCCTGCCACAACTAACACCCAGCACAACCAAATAAATAAATAAATATTTTTTTTAAATGGTGATCCAGGTCGTAGTTTGCTGATTTCTGATATATCCAAGTCATTACTTTAAAATCAAAATAGTTATTAGAATCTTGTTATTTAGTGCCTTAACAAAGAAGCATGTAATTTACTATATCAGGCTTTCTTGTTATTTTGAAAACTATATTTCAGTATCATTGGTTGCCCTTGTGAGCCTATGTATTTTGTTTTTTGCATTTAAGAAAGTTATTCTGAATTGCGGTCCACAGACTTCACCAGTCTAACCAAGGGGGTCCTTGACCCACTGGAAATAAAGAGCCTCTGTTATTTAATCTCTCTCCGCTTTAGTTTCCTCACAGCAGTGGCAAAGCGAATAATAATAATATCTATGTCAGAGAGTTTTTGCAAGCATTCAATGTAACTGTGAATATAGAAGTTCTTTGTTAACTAGAAAGAACTATAGAAATTTAAGATATGAACATTTCCACTTCCCCAGCAGTGCCTACTACAGTCCTCTGTACACAGTAGGTACTGAGCAAATGCTTGTGGCAGTGAGATTAGTTGAGCCTACAGCCTGGCATCCCTCCCCCAGGAGACTTCTTGTGCAATATGTGAGGAAGAGGGAGAGAGAAAGACTGCAGAATCCCGGAGGTTCTGAGGATTCTCTCACAATTGTCTCTGCAGAATTCCCAACCATCACATCTATTTAGACATCACACTGGGGAATGAAAAGAGGAAGGGAGAGATGGCCATGTTCTGAGCGGAGACTTCCTGCTGACGCGGCTGGTTTTAGGAGTGCGACTTTGCACAGTTTGTGAAAGCACGTGAACCTTGAAATAGAACCACGGACCTCTTAATTCATCTCTCCGTTATTTGATAAAGTATAAAGTAAATGAATGCAGAACATTTTTCCTTTAATTACACAAGGGGGAATGGGTGGGGGGTGTGAGGCTGGCGGAGCAGAAGATTGAGGGTGAGGGGCCACTGTGATGCATTTGTGCTTCCAAAGCAATTGTGCAGCATGGACGCTGCCTGCGTGAGGGCTTCTCTGAGATTTCAGCGGTGGGGAAAGAGGCTGAAGCTATGGGTCACAATGAGACCTACCCCAGAGCCCAGCAGCTTCCGATCAGGTTGCATTCTGAGACAGCAATGGGACAGGGGGGTCTCTGCCCTCAATAAGCTTACAGTTCAGTTGAGAAAACAAGTCTGAAATGCATAAACCAGGCATCAATATTTGCTGTGTGGTTAAGACCGTGTGGTTCAGTCCCAGCTCCAGCTCTGGGCGGGGGACCTGGCCTCTCTGAGCCTCACTATGCTGTCACGAAAGATGTCCACCAAATATTTCCAGTTCTGCCCTCGTGGAGATGGACAATGCAAATAAACCTCTGAGTAAATAATATGTCAGACATGGGACCTTGGGTCTAAACCCTTCCTCTCCTCTCTTTCTGGATTCTTTGACTAACCATCCCCTTCAAATGACTGCAGATAGATGGTCGCTCCAGGGAGCGTGGACCCGAGGCACAACCAATTTACGTGGCAGTAGCTCAGACTCATGGTGTCGCATTATTCAATTATTTAAAGCTGAAATTGTTCCTTCCAGGCTGCTAAGAGCTCATATTTTATTCAATTCGATTATGATTTGTTAAATTAAAAGTTGGTCTGGATAACAAGAGGATAACTTAAGTGTTAAAAGATGGGGGTTCATTATGGATTGAATTATGTCCTCCCAAATTTACATGTTGAAGTCTTAAGCCCCCAGAACCTTATTTGAAATAAGGTCATTTCAGATATAATTAGTTAAGTTGAGGTCATACTGGAGTAGGGTGGGCCCCTAAGCCAATATGACTGGTGTCTTTTTTTTTTTTTTTAATTTTTATCGGAGTATCGTTGATTTACAATGTTGTGTTAGTTTCAGGTGTGTAGCAAAGTGAATCATTTATACATATCTATATCCACTCTTTTTTACATTCTTTTCCCATATAGGCCATTACAGACTACTGAGTAGACTTCCCTGTGCTATACAGTAGGTCTTTATTAGTTATCTATTTTATATATAGTAGGTGCCCTTTTTAAAAGGGGAAATTTAGATACTGACCCGGATACACGGAGAACTCCACGTGAAGATGAAGACAGAAATTGGGGTGATGTGTCTTTGGACTTCCAAGGAAGACCAAAAGTTGCCAGCCAACCACCAGAAGTTAGCAGAGAGGCATGGAACTGATTCTCCTTCACAGGCCTTAAATGGAACCAACCCTGCCCACACCTTGATCTTGAACTTCTAACCTCCAGAACTGTGAGAGAATACATTTCTGTTATTTAAGCCATCCAGTTTATGGTGTTTTGTTACGGCAGCCCTAGAAAATGAACAGAGGTTCTAATTTGGCTTTCTCCCGGCTGAATGACTTGAACAAGTTATTAGAGAGGCAGTACAAGTAGTGGAGGGCAGGAGCTGGGAGCCCACCTGTTTGGCTTTGAATCCCACCTCTGCCACCACAAGCTGTGTGATCTTGGACAAGACTCTGAACCTCTCTGTACCTCCATCTCCTCCTCTATAAAAAGAGACGAAAGACTAGGTGGTCTCCAGGAGGCCTTGCAGCTCAAATACTCCACAAGTCAAACGTATACACCTTTAAAATATAGCAAGGGGCGCCTTTGGCGAGATACTAGGACCATCCTAACAGGATCCCGAGGAGAAATAGCCACGTGGCAGAAGGTGCAAAATAAAGGGACATGCGGGACAGAGCCAGAAGATGTTCCTGCTGACATGGCTGATTTTTATCATAGGGAGAATGTTTGCGATCTGCTCAGGTTACTGGACCCTTAATTGAGTAGAAAGCTCAGAGTGGGTGAGCACAGCCTCTGGTGCGGGGGCCTCTGGGACGCTGGGCAGGAGCACAGCTGCCATTGTGTCAGGACGCCAAGGACTGATGGTCTCTTAGCTGACCACACGGTAATGGGCGTGGCCAGCACCTCTGAACCCAGAGTCAGAGCAAAGGAAACTGCAATTTGGCCA